ACTACGGTTCCACGGTTGGAACTACAGTCGGCGGTCCTTGCGGTCCGTCTTCGCGCTGCGATACTGCAAAACCATGATATGGTGCCTATCAAGAGTGTCATGTGGAGCGATTCGAAGACAACTTTAGCTTGGATAAAATCCGACCACCGCCGCTACAAACCGTACGTAGCGCATCGTGTAAATTTTAGAGAACAGCGAAGAGTGTGAATGGAGATGGTTACCTAGCGCATGTAATCCAGCCGACTTTGGTACGCGTGTTCGAGATGAGAATCGGCAATCCTTCTGGGCGTGTGGACCCGACTTCCTTCTCAAGGACGAGACGCATTGGCCAACGGCGGAAACCTATGCAGAAACTCGAGAGGAGCTTCGTGCAAAATTCGTCTAATATACGTGTGTGGAAAACGACTTCTTCGAAAGGTTCTCGTGTTTCATTCGCCTAACGAGAGTGGTTGCGTGGATGTTACGTTTCTGCGATAATTGTCAAAACAGCCAACGGGATAAAAGAGGTGGTCCGCTAACGGTTTCCGAGCTGGAGATCGCGGAGCTATCGATCTTTCGAGGCGTGCAGAAGGCAGCCTACCCCGAGGAGTATAAGGACTTAAGCCGGAAAGCCAACTAAAATCCAGTAGCAAGCTGTTGATGCTTTCACCATACATAGATGATGCCGGTATTATCCGTATGAAGGGGCGAATCGACAATGCGGATGCAGTCTCAATAAATACTCGCAGGCCCATCATCCTACCTCAAGCGCATCACGTGACTGATTTAGTCGTCAGCTATTATCATCGAAAGTGGAAACATCAAAACGAAGGCATAACTATAGCAGAAATTCGTCGGAAATTTTGGATACCTCATGCACGGGTATCAGTGCGTCGCGCAGCAAGAGAATGCCAATTTTACAAAATTAAAAGAGCTCAACCTGAAACTCCGAGTATGGGTCCACTGCCAAAAGATAGGCTGACACCGGTTGTGAGGCCGTTCTCCTACGTAGGCCTGGACTATATGGGACCGTTTCTCGTCAGTATAGGACGGCGCCAGGAGAAGCGTTGGATTGCGCTATTTACGTGTTTAACAATTCGTGCTGTACACATGGAAATCGCTAGAGATCTCAGCACTGATACGTGTTTGTTATGCATCCGAAATTTCATGAGCAGACGAGGTACTCCATTACGCATACGTTCAGATAACGCTACAAATTTTATTGGTGCCGATAACGAACTGCGAAAACAACTAACCGAATTCAACTCCGGAAAAATTGCTGACATACTTGCAAATGACCGCATAGAATGGGTGTTCAATTGCCCACTAAATCCTCATGCTGGAGGATGCTGGGAGCGCCTAGTTCGCAGCGTAAAACATGCTATGGGACATGCGCTTTATAACGAAAACCTCCAGGAGCACTGCCTTTATAGTTTAATGTGCGAAGCAGAAAATCTAGTCAACTCGCGGCCGCTAACACACATAGCAATAGACACACCCACCGACGAACCTTTAACCCCTAACCACTTCCTTCTAGGTACAGCTAACTCGGAACAAACACCTCATCCTCGTGAAGAGGAATACCGCCCGTCCAGAAAGCAGTGGAGGAAGGTACAACAAGCACAGCATCGTTTTTGGAAAAAATGGCTTTCAGAATACCTCCCAGATCTGTGCCGCCGGACAAAATGGTTTCAGCCTGTGCAACCGCTACGAGTTGGAGACGTTGTCTTGGTCGTCGATAGCAACATTTATCGTTCCCGATGGCCGATGGGTAAAGTGACTCGAGTGTTTCCTGGCAAAGACTCACAGGTCCGAAGTGCCAAGTACAAACCCAAACAGGGGTGTTCAAACGTCCTGCTTGTCTACTAGCGAAATTAGATGTTGGTGAATCTGTTTAGATTCACGGAGGCCGGGATGTTGGCGAACTATGTATTTTTGAGTTTGGTGTAAACTTGTTGTTAGTGTCGTGAGTTATGTTGCTATTTGGTGTAAACCCACTGTTAGTGTTGTCGAATTATATATTGGCCCTTCTGGCAACTCTGCTCCTGCTGGAATAATCGAAATGTTTGTCATCCCTAAATTTTTTATTGTTCATTTAAATTTTACCAGCACAGCTGGAGGGAGCAAAAACGAATGTAAGTTTATATACCTTTCTAATTTTAC